TAAATTTTTTGCTCACATCCAGCTTGAACTTCCCCTGCCAGCTTGTGGCACTGCCTCTTGTCCTTTCACTGTGTATCCCCACAAGATCTTCCAGAGCTAAGTGCCCAACACATTAAGGGCTGCACTAAGCCGCTCTACTCACCCACTACAGAAGCATCTTTATCACCGATGAATTTCTCAAAATCAGCAATAGAACTGAGAGCCACTGAAGCAGGTCCCGCCTGTTTCTTGAGGTGACTGACAATCCCATCTTAACAAAAGAGTCCATAATTATTAAAGGGATCAATACAACGTTCTACAAGAGCTTTTCAAGCTTCTCAAAACAAAAGCTGTTTCTTCAGAGTCTATACTCCTCTCCCACAGGATAAATATAATATGAATTGAAGTAGTACTATCACTAACTTCACATAGGAACTGATCTGAAAGGCAGAGCTTTTCAGAGGACTGCAATTACAGAAGAAGAAATCTTTTCAACATTCTCATATCAAGAACTGCTGGTTTGCTACCAAAGCATTACAGAAGGCCATACTGTGAAAAGTTACGTTTTTCAAAAGACCTGATCAAAGAGACATAGAACACTATTTGTGCATCAGGATTTCAGATATTAGCAAGGTATATGTACCAAAAAGCTATCTATGTGAGGTCTTCCCTTCAAGCATTTTCTGGACGCTGCCCATCAAGGAGGCTATGGCTTAAAAATAACGTGGAGCCTTTCACCTTTAAAGGTGCCTTTTAAGAGACAGTAAGCATCCAGGGCTCTCCCAATGCAGAGCTGGGGCAAGGGAAAAGGATAAACTTCTTTGCATCCCTCAGTACATTTAACATCACAAAACCAGTTCTATAAAATATGGCTCTTCTTCCGGCACAACTGCAGCAAGACAGATGTACAAAGATCGACAAGCTCTTACCTGCTGTCCTGGGCCCATCATAGGTTCCTGCCTCTTCACCATCTCGAAAAATCTTCAGAGTGGGATAACCGCTGACTCCATACTTGTTACAGGTGTTGGAGTTTGCTGTACAGTCAACCTAAAGGAAGACAAATATTGCTACTCAGTGTTTTAACTGTGTACGCACAGAAAAAAATAGCTTTGCCACTTGCCCACATCTCCACATTATCATGTAACGTAAAGACGAAGTCTAAAGGGCTTGAAAGTTAGCAAGTGTCCTTAAGCAGGGCTGGAGTCTTTTCACATAAAGTGTGAGCATCTGAGAGCCACATGTAGAAGATCAAAACCCAGGCCTAATGCATCCAACCAAGTGGTCCAAGACGGATCTGCTACACAGCATTCGTTATTAAACGGTCAACAGCAGCACTACCATGGAAGGGCACAGGATGGAGGTATTAACAGGGTCAGAAAAATCTGTGAGGAAGTACTGGAAAAATTCAACAGCTTCCTGCATGACCAGACAATACAAGAAAAGCAGCAGGAAGGCTGGATTGCTTACAGTTAAATGAAAGGCTTTAGAGAAATTAATTTTTTCAGGACCCCATCAATCCTGAAGTTCCTGCAATGGTTAACACAAACAGGCTGACCTCAATCAACAGGGAGACTATGGCATCAGAATCCAGGGCACTTCCCATGGAGAAAGGTAGAGACTCTGTCCTCAGAAAATTGTACAAGTTTTCTGGCAGAAAAGAAAGCTTGTACACATCAACCCTTACTTTATGAAATCAAGAAGCAATACCATGAATACAGTGCTATACTAATACCCAGACTAAACTACACATTCAAAAGAAGGCTTCTTCATCCCTAGTTATGCTCTGCACCCCAAGTCAACGGGCAGCAGCCCCTGTAGCGTTCCGCTTCCAGATCGATCCCTGGTGTCTACGTCTTCCAAGAGATGAAGCCGCTCAAAGCTCTGAAGAGCCACGAGAAAACCAGATGCGCTCATCACAGAGCCTATTAGAGGCCTGCGATAGCAAGACTTCTATTTGACCGAAGTCTACTCGCGAGCCACCCACACGACGGGGGAGCCGGGGCGGCACGGCGCTCACCTTCACGAGGGGCACGATCCCCTTCAGCCTCGTCGCTGCCGACTCGTACTCGGGCGCCAGCC